TTTTGGGATGTGTATAACAAGAGAATCGTAATTCGCCGCGCCAGTGGGCGTCGCGTGCGACGTCGCGCCCGCTAATGACGACGATTTTAGGTGGTATTGGTCGAGAATAGACAATGTATGACCAAAAATAGACATAAATGTCTACCATGTCCTTGTCTACATGAAATCCGATGCTCCAATCGAAAGGGTAGTGCAAATTGAGGAAACGTCGCGCCCATTGCCGCGCGCGACGAAGCGGCAATTTACGATTCTCTTGCCCGTCTTCCACATCGTTTTCTACCAATAGTGATCGATCAGGAAAAAAAAACCAGTGACGGAAGAGGGCTTATTTTTTGAATTCTGTTACCGCCCTGAGTGATTGCAACGATATCAACCGACATTAACCAACTATCGAGTGTTCCTATCTCATGACTTCGAAGAGGTAGCAAGACGAAACTAGTCAAGATAGACAAGACATGACGTGTAATAGTTACGGCACCCTCCAACTACCTTTACTCGACTTTTCATCGGAATAAGCGGCCGATTATGCTGTCACAGCACCATATGCGGACCAAGATTTTAGCTAACTCTACATTTTAGAAGTAAAATTCGAGCCGTGTTCAATCTAGAAGAGTCCGGTGAGCATTCGTTTTGTGGATCGGGAAATCTCGTCGGAGGATTCAGCTACGATCCTGAGCGCCTCATGAGAAATGAGAGTACGTTTTGTAGAAAGCCCACTTTGGCGGCACTTGCCAAATCGTACTGCGCCCTGCACGCTTTTAGTTGTACGAAAAAACGCTAGAATATTCCAGTATTCTACTACAACTTCCCTCTGCCTGATTTTGAAGTTCTTGCAGTCCGCCTCGGCTATAGTGGACATCGTAAGTTATATCTACGAGCTGACTAGAGGGTAAGTATTTAGGTTGTCGCGAGTTCTCAGCGTTTTGTGTTACCATTTTTTTGTACATTCACTGCTGATTAAAAACTCATTTTACCTTGCTTCTCAGTAGCACATCCTGTAGAGAATTTCTCGCGCTATCTGACTGTATAATTGCCGTTTCACCATTGCCTGATGAACCCCCTTTTTTCGAGATTTTTTCAAGCATGTGAAAAGAGCACTTTGGACGATTTTTTCTTCGACTATAAATTGGGGCAATCCGCAATCGAAACAGCTCAACAAATTAACCAGGTGTGGGGGCCCAATAGTGCTAGAGAAAGCACTGTGCGGCATGGCTCAACAAATTTCGTTCTTTGGAGCGGATTTCAGCTTTGAAGATGAACCTCATAGCGGTCGACCTAAAGCAATATCTGACGAGGATTTTAGGGGGATTTTGGAGGCTGACCCATCCCAAACAGTTCGAGAGATAGCAGAAGAGCTAGGCCTTGGCAAATCCACTGTTGCAGATGGTCTGGAACGCATTGGGAAGGTGAAAAAACTCGACAATTGGGTGCCCCACAATCGGAGTGACCGGCAGGAATCGGCACGTCTCGAAGGTTCCCTTTTCATGCATTGGCTTTGCGCTGTTTTTGGGCCGAGTTGTCAGCCGTGATGAAAAACGGGCCATGTATGATAACAGGAGACGTTCCGGACAGTGGCTGGATTTCGACGAACCCCCGAGGTAATTTTCAAAGCAGAACCCTCACGAAAAAAGATTCTGATCACGGCCTGGTGGTCATCGGCTGGTGTGATCCACTATAAGTTTTCACCAGGCCAAACCATCACAGCAGAAGCCTAGTGTGAAGAAATCGACGAATTGTACCGAAAATTTTGTCAGATGCAGCCAACACTTATCAAAAGAAACTGTCGATTGCCTTGACATGACAACGCCCGCCCACACGTTTCACAAATCACTATCCATAAATTGAACGAATTGGGGGATGAAGTTCTACCTCAACCGCCATATTCTCCAGACCTTTCACCAACCGACTATCACCTTTTCAAACATTTTCAGAACTTCCTTGCTGAAAAATACTTCATCAATTAGGACCAGGCAAAAAAGACCTTCGTAGATTTCGTGGATTCTCGACCACCCAGTTTTTTCTTTGATGGGATTTCTCGACTGCTGTCACATTGGCAAAAGTGTGCTGATTCGAATGGTGCCTATTTCGATTAAATCCGATGAGTACTAAAAAAGTTACGATCTTT